AATGGATTATCATTGAGAAAAAAAATATGTAACTCAATCATCTAAATTGTATTTGTTTAGTTAGTCTGGGCTCACATAGCGTAAGTGCTCCTATTATTACTATACATCTGGGTGAGATTAAATTTTTTCAAGTGTTCTGCAAAATCTAAGGCAAGTCTTAAGACCATTATTTGCCAATCCTTCTTTATCAGCAATCCAATACTAGTGACTGATTCCATTGATGGGAAAGCCCTAGGTGGCTCAATAATAAAGAAAATACGGATTAGCAGAGTCCCTTGAGGTAAATCCTAATGCACTGCTGATGCGTCTACCTTATCAGAAAAGTCTCTAGGTAACTCTTGGGGGTTCACAGACTTATCACAATGATATCCTGCAAAAATGACAGAATAATTTAATTCTACAGAAGCCAAGAAATTCTATTTTAAAAGCTCTATGAACTGAATAAAACTGTATACATGCCCCTGAATCCACTCTCCAAAGCAATCAATCTCTCAAACTGTATTTTAAAGAGGAAAAAAATGTCATATTTTACCATAAAATTACCTTTCAGGCTAAAAACAAGGCTAGGGAATACACACACACAATCTGTAGGTATAGGCCTAAAGTGGAGAGTTGATAAAATTTGACAGGTAAGGGAACTTTACTTTTCTTTCCTTCACCCACCAAAGCAAAAATGCCTAAGGCACTCAAACTTATAACCCTAATAACAGTTTAGGATCAAAACCTCAGATGAGCAATGGGAATTCTTCAGGAGAAAATGTTCATAAGTGTTTTTTAAAATCATACATAACTGCTATATAAACAAACCAGATTAACTAAAATAAGCATCTGATGTCTTCACTGATTCTACCAAGCACTTTATGGCTTGCATTAACCATGAAAATTTACACAAGGCTTTGCACGTGATTCAACTCTGGACACAGAACTCATTGAGACACGTTTATGTCCTAAAACACCCCTTTCACCACACAAGCTCTGAATAGGCTTTAAAACAAGACAGCCTATGGGTAGCACTGCAGAATTTGGAGCTAAGTTTTATTGTCTCTACCACATTCAACCAGTCACAGAGCAACAAACCAAAGTTCCAATATGCACGCTGCACCTGCAAGACTTAGGTATGCTCCAAGTCAAATATTTGCAATTTTTTCATCCCAAATCTGCGCAAATGAAAGTATGCAGATCGCAGCACCAGACCTCTTGTCAGCCAAATGATCTCTATTTCCCACATCAGCCGTGTCCTACTGTTTTTGAGTTCTTCAAACGGACATGTGCCAGGAACTGTGCTAGCAGCTTGCATATATTATCTCTAATCCTTAAAACAAATCCCATTCTACTGTTGAGGTAAGTGAGGCCAGAGAGGTCAAGGTGATTTGCCCAATGCCGTAGAGCCAGTAACTGGTGGAGCTGATTCAAATCCTGTTCTGCCAGGCTCCAAAGGACCATCTCCCTGATCCTCCTTCAGCTAAATTCACTACCTGCAACACCGTTTCCCTCTATCAAAGTAAATTCAGGCGTTAACTGTCAGAAATGGTGACAAGAGCTGAGAAGACTATCATACCTAAAGCTGGAGCACAAGACCCAAGAGTTCCCTGCCAGGAAATGCAGTCATCTCCTTTAGAATAACTAGTTCCAAAGGCTATGGTTCAAAATATAAGAGAATTCACAAGGGTTTTTGTTGTTGTTGGCTGTCTCTTCACCGACTTTTTACAACAAGGGAAATGAAACTCAAGAGTATATTCACATTCTTGGTGAAATTATCTAAAACCCTTGAGTAAAGGGTGATTTTTTTTTTTAACAGTTCACTTTTACAGGTTACTTCTTTGACAGGCTCCAGACATTCAAAAACAAAATCACATCAGTAGCATTACTAATCAACTTTTTTCTACAGACTTGAAAAGTATTTTCTTACCACACTACAAGATTACTTCCCATACTCTGAGCAGAAATGGAAACAGCTCTGGGCGTCACGAATCAGATCTTGAGGCCACAGTTGCAGAAAGTAGGTGCTGTTTCCCTTGAGTAGGAGCCGCTGATCTGAAACCTCCTAAGGGAAGGGTGTCTGAGAAAGAGTGCTGAAGAATCTAAAGCAAGCTGTTTGTATTAATGAGGGAGATGCTGGCCCCACTACTCCTTAAGTGTTTCACTGCCGTGCAATTATTTTCCAGCCTCCAAGCTCTGAATCTGGCAGAGAGAATGCTGTTCTCACAGCCATACGCGTTCTATGATCAGCTGCTCTGTGGTGTGTGGGTGTTTAACTAGGTAAGTGACTGGTTAGAAGAGGTTCTGCAATATTAAATCAAGGAAGCACACTGTCCCCTGGGACTTTAGTGATCTGTCACTCTACGACGCTGACAAAGTAACATATTTGCAACTTTGAAATGGTCTGGGTTTAGGATAGGCAAATAATTTCCGACAGTAAAGCTTCAGGCATGACATGAACAAAAAATATAACCTGTAATATAAGCCACTTCAAGCATGTTTATTAGATAATAAAAAATGCAATATTTGCCATCTCAGCATGCTTTCAAACTTCATAGGGTACACTGCCTAATTATTAGAATAAATGCTATTCTTCAGGTGTGTGGAACAGGTTCTATGCAAGATTCCAAGCCCCTCCCCACCGCCTTCCAAAAAAAGTTAATACCATGAATTGGTTAGCCTCTCAGAACCCCAAAAATGTAAAATAAATAAATAAATAAAAGGTCTCAAAGGATTCTTTAAGTAAAAAATATTGTCAGAACTGTAAGCTCCTGGAGAGCTGGGGACTATGTTTCTTTAATGTCACTGCCCATCACAACACTATCACAAGTGAAATAAATCCCCCTTGGTTGAAACATAATCAAAAGGCAAAAGCTGGATGCAGAGTGATTTAAACAAGAATAGCTGATACTTATCCCCTGCTTGTTGATAGAATAGTGCAACGTTCATGCCTTGTTCTAAATTCTAAACACGGGGACTGAATTCCTAACTGCAATTAGGATCCTCCCATTAAAACAAAACTTTAAAATGGATGATTCTGATGGCAATGTCACCCTGAATAAAGACATGAAATCATATTTAATAAAGTTGAAAAAATCTGCACAGAGCAGGTGCTCTACTATGGGAATGATAAAGCCTTCTTTTAATAAATCAAGTCAACCTCCATCAACACATCATGGATAGGTATCATGAAACAGACCACTGACTTTGCTGTTGAAATATGCTACATTTAGAAAACAGTGCAAGGAACATACATCATCAACTGGTCAAATTCAGACAAATTATTTTGACTCCAGTTTTAACTTTTTCTGAAATTCTCACATACATCTCCTTTTTACAGGAAGACAGGGAACGTAATGGAAGAACAAAACACAAGGATACATATTATCATCTACTTTGTTGCTTACTGCTCAGGACAAAAGTACTGTAATGCCAATCCTCAAGAAACAAAACAAAACACAAAACTCAAGTTCCTTTCACTTTTGCATAATATAGATCTCAACCTGACTGTCCCAGGACTAGCTTCAAGAGGACTGTAATTGCATATAAAAATCATGAGCGTCTCTTTGGTTAAGAACCACTGAAGCAGACATTTCCAGAATCACTAAAACTCAGAGGTGATCATTTTAAACAAAATTATACTAAAGGTAGTATCTATCAGAATACACGTGCACAGTCCTGATACAGGACTGGGCAGCTGACCACTCTCAAATCAGCCCTAGGCGGGATCATCCCCTGCATTCGGGGCACACACACATGCTAGCCACAGCAGCTCTTCATTCCTTAAGCATACACATGTTGTCAACAAAGCATGTGCTAGTTGCCATTCCCAGAACAATACACAGGCCTGGCCATCTCTGGAAAAAAAAAAATACACATTCTTCCCAAAACACGACCCTATGTAGTTAACTATGCCTTGATGACCGCTCTTACATACTAAAACAAAATAAATCGAAATGCCCACACACATGTATCTAATCGACTGAGAAAAAAAGCATCACTCAGGTATTACTCAGGGCACACCGGAGATGCAGATCAGGAAAACACTATGATAACGATGCTTGAACACGGGGACAATCAAAGACAGACTCACGCAGGAACGTCCTGAGAACATGGTTGTGGAAAGAACCCCTCTCCAAAAGCAAATGCACATTCCTTTGATTGGCACAAGCCATTCCTGACAATGGATCTGCAATGACAGGGGCTGCTCTGGCAATCAGGAAGTGTGTGTGTGTGTGTGTGTGTGTGTGTTGTGGGGGAGGGATGTACATAAATGTGATCAAAGACTGGCCCTCTTCAAAGACGGGCATATGGGATCTCAAATCGTGAAGACAGACTTCGAGGGTGAGGCAGGGGCATTTATCATTTCTACAGGAGACATCCCTCGACAATGAACATGTTATGTGCAGATGTAACGGGGGTGTCACTACCTTTAGTGTCTCCCATCTAAGAATCTTAAGTAGAGCCTGATTGGAGGGGAGGAGGAGGTGGGGGTGGAGAAAGGTCTGCATTACCCTCTGGGGTGAGTGTTGGGCGGGTGTACACTGGATGCATTTTATCTCGAGCGGCACAATACTCCCAGGGGTTGGAGGTTTGGGCGCAACCGCAGGGCCCGGGAGGCAATGGGTGCACGCCACCAGCTGCAGGGCAGGGGAATGCTCGCTGGAGGACCGGTGCAAACCTCCCTCGGCCCGCTAACCCAGGCAACCCCAGCCTCCCCTCGGGCCTCGGGGCGAGCGGGCTCTCTGCAAAACTGGAGCCCGGTCCGGGTCCGGGAGCGAGGGGCCGAAGGAGCAGAAGCGGGCGCCCCCGGCCCGAGCTCGCGGCCAGAGGAGAGCAGCGCCCCGGGCCTCCCCGCCGGATGGGGGCTGCTCCGGCCTACTGCACGCAGCTGCCTCGGCGAAGGGTTAAGCCGGCGCCCAAGCCCCGGCCGGCCCGGCGGGCGGCGGAGAGGAAAGGCTGCTGCAAGGGGCGCAGCCGCGACTGTGGCGTGTGCGTGGGGGGCAGGGGCCCCTACTCACCCTGGCCGGCCGCCTCCGCCTCCGCCGCCCCGACCGCCGCCTCGGCGGTCCATCCCTGCGGCGGGGGGCCTGTAGCCGCGGCGCTCGAGTAACAACCGCCGGCCGGGCCGGCCCCTCCCCCCCCGCCCAACGTCTGTCCTCAGGGCCGCTCCGCAGACCCGGCCTCGGCCGCCGCCGCCGCCGCCGCCGCCGCAGCGCTACGTGGCCGCCGCTCCGACGTCTCGCGACTCCCTTCCGAGCGCGCGAGGGCGAGCGGGGCCGGCGGGGCGGGCGGCGCGCGGGGAGGGAGGCAGGGGAGGGGGTGTGCGTGTGTGGTTGTGTGTGCGGAGCCGGGGGCAGGGAGGGAGGGCGAGCGGCGGCGAGAGCGCGCGCGCGCCCGCGGCCCCGTCCCTCGCCCGCCCCCCCATCCCCGCCCAACGGGGAGCCGACACCTCCCTCTGCCCGCCCCCCTGGCATCCCGGCCGCTGGGCGCGGCGGCGCGCATGCGCAGCCCCTCGGGCCGGCCCTGGCGCACCTTTTCTCCCCGCTGCCACAATGTGAGCGCCCCGCCGCCCAGATAACCGCCGACTCCCGCTCCACCCCCGCCTTCCCCCACTCCGCCCACTGCCGAGCGCCCAGGTAAAGGCGTGGACTGCGCGTGCGCACCTCTCTCCCTGGGTCTGGGGGCGTGGTTGCTGAAAGGAAGCCAAAACGCAGAGTGGGAGGGAGCTTGGGGCGGAGGGTGTGAGTCTCCCCGAAGTAGGGGCGGGTTAGGATTAAGGAAAGGTAAAGTGAAGAAAAGGGGCCGAAGTAGGAAAGTGGGCCCAAGTGAGATTTAGAAGTAAAGGAGCCTTTGGCTTATGAAATAAAATTAAAAAAGAACCCGTGGCCTCTGTTCCTGGAGGCCTCTGTTCCTGGAGGGTAGGGTGAGTGACAGAGGACAGAAATAAAGGAGGCAAAATATAAGCAGTAGTGGTCAGTCACGAGATAAATGGGGACAGCTAATAAAACCTGGAGAAATTTAGAGATTGCCGGAATGGTCAGAAAAACAAATTTAGAGCGGCGTTTGTTCTGTGGCCAGGAATAGAGCATGTGTGTGTGCTTGAGACATTGAACTGCTGCAAGAAAGGAAGCCTCCATTGAAAGTATTACAGCATTATGACTAATTAGCTATTAATCATTAATATAATTAATGGTACTATTAGCTAACAAGGTAGCATTTATCCAAGTTCCGAGCCAAGAGAGGGTGTCCATAATTGCAAGTGCTTGGCATACAGAGAGAGGAAGTGAGGCAGGCAAGGTAAAGGCCTAGGGAGGAGAGGACCCAAGACAGCAACTTGGAGGGTCAGGATGACCCTTTCCCACAATAAACCAAACTTCCCTGATGTTTCCCAAATCTTATCTCCATTGGAACTCCTCATCCTCCTTCCATTATTAAAAGCACACTTAACAAATGTCTTTGCATTAAGACCTATCTCTTTACGCATTTTCTTTTTTTTTTAAAGATTTTATTTATTTACTTGAGAGAGAGAGAATGAGAGAGAGAGAGAGCACATGAGAGGGGGGAGGGTCAGAGGGAGAAACAGACTCCCTGCTGAGCAGGGAGCCCGATGCGGGACTCGATCCTGGGACTCCAGGATCATGACCTGAGCTGAAGGCAGCTGCCCAACCAACTGAGCCACCCAGGCGCCCTACGCATTTCCAATACAGATGCAGCTACTTCTCTCCAAAATAGCCACCCCTCCCTCTCCCCCCAACCCCCGGAAAAAAGTCCCTATAGCAAGTAAAATGGCCTGAATCTGGGATAGGGTTAGGGAAGAGATTGAAACTTGATACACAAAAGGGTTCCAGGGCTAGCCCTGTCCTTGGCACCTCTGAAAACAAATGCTCAGTCTTTATTATACTTGGACTCCACATTCCAGGGAGTGTAATTTGGCACCTTTGGGTTGTGTTCCTCAGTAGTGAGCGTCTTCAGTGGATAAACACTAAAGGTGACATCGTCATTCAGCAGGTAGAGAGAAAATCTTCAGGCAGAGCAGGAGGAAATAAGCATGCATAAATAATAAAAGACTTAGGGGCACCTGGTTGGCCCAGTTGGTGGAGCATGTGACTCTTGATCTCGGGGTTGTACCCCTGAGCCCACCTTGCGTGTAGAGATTACTTAAAACAAACAAACAAATAAATAAATAAAATCTTAAAAAAAGAAGATTTACTGTAAGAAAGAACTTGGCCTCCACGGGGGCTGGTGAGCCCCGAACATCTGACTGAGATGTTTAGTTTTGCCCTTCTAGGACATTTAATCCATTCCCTACTCTGCCTGTCCGGGCAATCCAGCTTGGAAGACCGATGTGCAGAGCGATGGCTAAAGAAGCAAGGTAACCTTCCAAGTGTCTATGACTCTCCACCCACAGGCCAGCCCTCTGAAGGGCTCCTAGTAATTACAACAGTAATATTATTGCCTTCCACTTGAGGAGTGCTTTATGGTTTCTGCAGGGAAGTTATGTCCATTATCTCATGAGATCTTCCAACAACTCTGTGAGGCCAGCAGGACAGGTATTATTATTCCCAATGAAGGAAATTTGGGCCAAGGAAGGCTTAATGGCCCAGTCGATCACTCAACCTAGAAAACAATGGAGGGTTTGACTCTGAAAGACTGCTACGTATTCCTGTGGGTAAAAACAGGTAGCCTTGGCACGTGATAGAGAATAATTCAGTTCTACACCTGCATCTCCTTTCTTTCATGTGTTTTCCCCTTTTCTTCTCTTCAGGACCCTAGGACTTGCCCCTGTGTGTCTGAGGCCTTGGTGACCAGTACTTTGGAAGGCCTTGGGCCGCAGGACTTAACAAGGAGATCCCAGTTGCTCTGCTCTCTCTTAACTCTTCCCTTTCATGTATTTACCCACAGCAGGGGGCTGCAGACCAGTGTCCTCTCTCGACATGTCATAAGAAGACGGCCTCTGCTGTCAGCCAGACTGCAAAGCCCATGCCCCCTTCTTCAGTGGCTGGCATTACAACTGACAGTCAATGTAAGCACCATTTTTTTTTTTTTTTTGCAAGCACCATTTAGCACCCACAGCTGGTCTCACTGGAAGATCAGGCTTCTGTCCTCCTGGTTTCCTGGCTTTGGATAGTTCTTCACTAACTTCTTCATTAAGGCAGTGGACAAAACCCAGTAGAAGCCATTTTTTAAAAAAAGATTTTATATATTTTTTTGACAGAGAGAGAGAGAGAGGGAGAGGGCATGAGCTGGGGGAGCAGCAGAGAGAGAGGGAGAAGCAGACTCCTCGTTGAGCAAGGAGCCCAACACAGGGCTTGATCCGGGAATCCTGTGATCATGACCTGAGCCGAAGGCAGCCGCTTAACTAACTGAGCCACTCAGGCGCCCCATAGAAGCCATTTAAAAAAAAAAGGTTTAGGGGCGCCTGGGTGGCTCAGTCGTTAAGCGTCTGCCTTCGGCTCAGGTCATGACCCCAGGGTCCTGGGATGGAGCCCCGCATCAGGCTTCCTGCTCGGCGGGAAGCTCGCTTCTCCCCCCTCCCACTCCCCCTGCTTGTGTTCCCTCTCTTACTGTGTCTCTCTCTGTCAAAAAATAAAATGTTAAAAAAAAAAAAAGGTTTAGTAGACACACACATTTGCATGCACGCACACACACACACAGGAATATTACTCAGCCATAAAAAAAAGATGAGATCTTGCCATTTACAACAAGGAGGGACCCAAAGGGTATTATGCTAAGTGAACTAAGTCAGAGAAAGACAAATACCATATGATATCAGTTAGAAGTGGAATCTAAAAAACCAAACAAATGAATAAACAAACAAAAAGCAGAATCAGACCTACAAATGCAGAGAACAGACTGATGGTTGCCGGAGGGGAAGAAACGTGGGGTTGGACAAAATGGGGGGAGGGAAGTGGGAGATACAGGCTCCCAGTGATGGAATGAATAAGTCACAGGAGTTAAAGGCACTGCAAGGGAATATAGTCAGTGATATTGTAATAGGACTGTATGGTGACAGGTGGTAGCTACACTCCTGGTGAGCACGGCATAAGGCAGCGAGAGGCCGAATCGCTCTGTTGTACCCCTGAAACTAAGGTGACATTGTTTGTCAACTATACTCAAATAAATAAATAAATAGTTTTAGTATAAAGTTCTGCACACTTTGACAGTTCTGAAAATCTTCAAAAATTTCATTTAAACAGCAGCAGATATATCTGGTTCTTTAAACGGCCTCATACAAGCTCCCAGTTCACTGCATTTCCTCACTCCCCAAGCTTCCGGGAATGTATCCACAGTCCCTGATAGTTCTTACCACCTCTACTTAAATAGGGGCGGTGGCTGTGGCTCTCTGTCCCCTCATTAATCTAAGCTGCTTCTAGCACACCAGACTTGGGGCCAGGGCCCTGGTCATGGGCTCCTAGGTTCTCATACCTGCTGTGCTGCAACCTTTACTCAATCCCTTCACCTTTTAGACTTTGCAAAAAAGACAGGATTTTCCGGCTCTTAGAGTCTTCCAGATCTGGTACCTAGGATTCTATTCTAGAAAGTTGACTTTGTTCGCTAATATCTTACAATGCCAATCCTTTGCTGAGAATCACTAACCGGTTCCTATCTCTGAGCCTTGCCTACAAGAAGCTGCCCCCTTCACAGAATGGAGAAAGCTGGCCTGGACTCTCCTGTTTTATTCACTTCTTCTCTAAGTGATGGGGTGTAGAGACAGATCAGAAAGATGGACTTCGGGCTTTTCTGCCATAGGGCTTGCATGCATATGTGCCCTCGTGCGGCGTGTATGTATGTTTCTGTCCAGTCTTAAAGGGATATGGGTCAAGGGCACTTTCGCTCTGTGACCCCTCACCTCCCACCACACCTGCTTGAATTCTAGTGAAGAGGCGAGATAAATGCCAGGATGTCCTAGAAGAAAAAGAGAGCACACCCAAAAAGGCCAGACCCATGAATGCAGCTGTTTTGCACTGGGGATAGAGGTGAGGGAGGCTATTGGGATAGCCAGTGTCCCTTTGGGCAAAGCTTGGTTTCAGCTGCAACATGGCCTGAGGCCATCATCGGGCTCACAGCCCGCTGCCACTATAGTCTCTCATCAAAATGCATTTTATAATTATTTTTTTAATATATAGATATTTATAAGATCTTATTTATTTATTCGTCAGAGAGAGAGAGAGCGAACAAGCAGGGGAGAAGCTCCCCACTGGGCAAGGAGCCCGATGTGGGGCTCAATCCCAGGACCCCGGGATCATGACCTGAGCCGAAGGCAGACACCTAACTGACTGAGACACCCAGGCGCCCCTCCCCTGCCCATTTTTTTTTTTTTCTAAATAGCAAATAA